CAGATGTATCTCTAGTCCCAGATATATAGATTGTATCATAAACTAAAATAATAGTTGTTAATTTAACCATTCATAAACTGATTATTGGAAACATTTTACAAGCCAACATTTAAATACTCTTTAACTCTTAAAGCTTAGTTTAAGTAACCAAAAGCTTAACCGTGGAAAACATGAGAAATTATCTTAATAGAATATAAATCACTTGCCTTTTAATCTAGCTTTCTGAATTGAACTGGATCATCTCTTTAAAAAACCTTATTGTGGGGCTGGGGATTTAGCTCAGCGGCAAAAGCGCCTGCCTGGCAAGCGCAAGGTCGTGAGTTTGGTTCCCGGTACCGGAGAAAAACCAAAAAAAAAAAGAATTTGTTTAATAATTGTTGGGCTGTGGTATGTACGATAGGACTCTGGGAAAAACTGGACAAGTTACCAATTCAAAAAGTACATCTATAAACAAGTATATTCTACCTAAATGTTACTCTAGTAAAAGACAATGACTAAAAGATAACAAATTAGGTAAAGGTTTCTGTATGCCATTTAATATTCTGTAATTAAAGATAACTGACTAAAAAGTTATTTTATACTAAAATGGAGATTCAAATGTGTTTCAGAGGTAATAGCAAAACCTAATGGTTCTCATATAATAATAGCACCATGTTATGCTAAAATGATATGTTGCCCTTTACCTCAAATTTTCTGTGTAAGACTTTATAATTGCTATCTGTTAACATTCTTCAGGAATTTGACTTCTAAGATGACCATGATTGGTAAACAATAACAGTTCTCTGGTAATACTTTATATTTCAAGGTGTTTTATATCTAGAAAAAATAGTTAAACGTACTACTCCTATTGTAATACTTAGCTAACTAACCTGGGTGCTCAACACTGAGGTTTGGAGACTAAAGCTAAAAAAAGGATGACTGGGATAAGAAAACAGCCAATATTTTGGCCCAGGCCTACCAAAGTCAACAAGAACCTAGGATATAAGAACCTTTCTACAAAATCCCACAACCTCAGTGAGTCACCCAACCTCCTGGGCAGGAAGATTGTTGGACCTCTGAGAAAAGGAGCCAACTGGTATACACTGTGTTCACAGGAGGATCACTAAAGAGAGAAACATCTCCCAGGCTTCCATAGGAAGCCACATGTCAAGCAAGCCCATGACCCATCCTAGCAATGACAATGACAGAGGAGCTAAGAGGCTCTGTACATGGTTCCAAAAGTAACCTCTGAAGAGCCTTAACCGACCTTGATATTTACAGCAAGAGGTTAATTTTTATTAACACCAGTCTCACTTTAATTTGGTCTTAAATATCCAGCAGAAAAGTATAACCAAAGATATATAAAAATAATAGTAGTATAAGCTAGACATGGAGAGAGGACTCAAATCACTACACTGACCCCTGCTGATAGTTTCTAGCTACACCTGATATTAACCACTATTATGCTTCATGAGGCTAGAAAACTACAGTAACTACAGTGGAAGCTGAAGAAGAATCTTTGAATTCCCTAATAAAATTGTCATTCAAAACCACAGAACTCTCCACCCTCATACAAGTATAACTAAAGGGACTTGTGTGCTAATAAATAAAACTTGTTGTCTTTAGATCAATAATTCACATCAAATGAAGAAAAGATGTTAAAACTGTAACATCAGGCACATAGGTAACTTCCAAAAATAGGAGGGTCTAGGACCCAACTCCTTATAATCCCTATTCCAGTGCCTTAAAACTTGTGTCTAACCCTGGTTCCTTCCCCAATTTGTCTGTTCATTCTGGTTCTTACGTTGGGGCCATGCATTCTTAATCACTTGGTAGAATTTGTTTCTTCTTGACTAGAGGCTTTCAAACTCCAAATGTGCATGCAGATGGAGCAATGAATAGGGTAGACTACTATTACTTGGGTCCACTAGATAAATCCTCTAAAGAAAACCATCATTGCTAAACCCCAACATGACTTCTGTCCAAGGCCTCTCAAATTAGCTCTGTGGAGAAAGTTCCTGACTTCTGTCTCCCCTACATCAATTCTTTTTAGCATGAAGCAGCTATATTCTATCTTTGTTCTCCCTTAGTGGCAGTCAAGGATACTTCTCCAAAGAGAAGAAATGGAGAAAATAGTTTATTTAGTTAGTCTTTGAGTAAGCCAGCTAGCTAGTGGAAGGGTCTCAGATAGAGTGGAGTGACCAGCCAGTCATATTGATTAAAATTAAGAGTATACAGTACACTAGGGCTTTGGACAAAAAATGAATTTTCCTGGGCAGCATGGAAGGCAACCCTCCCCCCGCCCACTAAAAGGAGGTATGGCACCTCCCTACTCACATCCTGAAAGGAGGTATAGCCTCTGCCTACTAAGATCCTGAATTTTGAACAAATTATAATGCAAATTAACAAGTGCAAATATTGAATCACATAGGGGGAGCTACATCTACCTAGGTATGCAAAGTCCAGGAAACTCATTGTAGTTTTTCTGATTAGATATTTTTTTCTAAATATATCAAGTGCTATAGGAAGATTAAAGGCTGAGGGTACAAGATGTCACTTTAGAAAAGCAACAGTTAAATTTGTCTTTGTCTATACATGCATAAGCCAGAAGCATTTTGATATTAGTGGTGACTGAGGGATCTAGCAGAGTTTTTCATAAGCATATTACTCTAAAGTATTCTCCAAGGACAGAGCAGCACTGGAAGAACAATGACACATAAGTGTTACTAAACATTTTATGAAGTACAAGTTACTTACATAAATAATACCACAAAACCCCCTTTTTTAGCCTCCCAAGTGCTGGGTTTACAGGCATGCACCACCATACCTGGCTACAAACTCTCTAAAAAACCTAAAAAGAATTCCTCTATAGATCTTTCTCTACTGAAACTTCATTGTAACAAGTGTTATTTAAAACGCCTTCTTACTAAAAAAGAAATTTAAGTTCTCTAGATGTTGCCTCAACCAATGAATTAAAACATCATGACATCTAAATAAGAAGAATGAATGGACTGGTGCATATAGGACTAACAGTAAGTACTGTACTTGGTTGTAGAGTTAGGATAATATGCTAGAAACTTCAGAGGTCGTAACTTTTGGAATCAAAGAGTAAAAGTATCATAGGGATTTACTCCATAGCATAAATCAAATTTGAAAAAGAAAATTTTGGGACAATTTACTAGCCTGTGTCACCTTTAGAATTAACTCAGGTAGCTTTCTAGAAATTTACCCACCTGATGAGAGGGCATTTATTTACTATTCCCTACAAATTCTCAAACCAACAGAAGGGATGTACATTTTGAAGGAAATATAATGATCACACTTCTTCTACAAATTATTTTTCAATTCACTCAGTGAACAGTTGGACAAGTGATGTCTCCCTGGAGACCAAGTGAAATAGAGATGAAGAAAACAGAGCTGGAAAAGTGTAAAAATCTAACACTCAACTGAAGTTTATAGGTGTCAGGAAAGAATGCAAACAAAAGTTTGATCTACGCTTAGGCCATTGCAATATTCCCTCTTATGATTAAGGTGGAGTTATGCCCGTGATACATCCCTTCACTTTTAAAAGACCACTAGGAACCCACAAGCTTAAGAAATTGCAAAAGAGAAGACTGCCACCATTTGTCTTGCTAATGAAAAGTCCGAGAGACTTGTGCTGAGTATTCAGTTCCACAGCTAAATAGGCCACGCCAGTTTCACTTCACAGGTGTTTTACGCAGCGCGCCAGCTGCCAGAACGTCCCAAACACCCCTAAGCAAACATTGCTGCCCAGGACAGAAAGTTTAGCGTACATTTTCTCGGCCGTGAAAGTTAGTCTTTGCTCTCATCACCACAGGGAAAAGTGCAGAAAAGTCTCCGTTAGTTAGGAGAAGAGAGGAAAGCCTGCTGGAAGCAATCTGAGAGAATTCAGGAGCACAGACACTGTTCTCACAGTTCACATACCTAAACAAAAAGTTCCTGTCATCTTGCCATTCATTTACTTCTCACAAATTTACCCTTTCCGTTCCCAGAAAACAAACTTCCCAGCTCCACAGCCACACACAGCTCCTGAGAAGAGCTGCACTCACCAAACAGCGACAGGATCCCACAGACGGTCCAGACGGTCAGAGACATGCCCACGCTGCCGGTGTTCTGGAGCACGCCCTTGGGAGAGATGAAGATCCCCGCTCCAATGATGGTGCCAATGATGATGGAGATTCCCCTCAGCAGAGTGATTTTCTTCTTCAGCACCACTCTCTCCTGCCCCGCCGGTGGCTCCTTGCCACCCCTGGGGGGCAGCCTCCCGTGGGCATTTCCCTGCAGGTAACCTCCTTTGGAGATGGTGGCCACGACAGGTTTTCTGACCATGGTTCTGACACACGGGGGGGAAAATAAAACAGGAAGAAAGAAAAAAAGCAAAACTTTCAACTTGAGTGTCTCTTTAGTGTGACTGATCGTTCTCTCTTCCTCTTTGCTTTCAGAGTGTCTCTCTCAGCGCTACTGTGTTCACAGGTAAAAACTCAAAGGTGTATTTTAGCCTCCACAGCTCTCTAATTACTCCTCAGAAACACCTGTGTGTGCTTGGTGCGCTCGGTTCCCACCTCCCCGTCCTGTCCCTGTGGCTGCGGCAGCGGCTGCTGCCCTATCATCACAAACCAGCTCAGCTTCCTCATGGGCTTGTATTTAAACTCCTGCCTGTCACACCAACTTACTCCAGCTACATGATGATGCAAATTCTCCAGGTTTGCATCAGCCACATGACAGGGCTCCAGCATTACTCAGCTTTTTTTTTTTTTTTTTTTTTTTTTTGCTTTTTTTTTTTTTTAACAGTAGCGGCATGTTGCTCAACTGACCTCAGCTTCTCTGAGAACAAAGAAGCACACACTTAAAAGGGATCTTAACCAATCCAGAAGACGGAAATTCACAACAGACCCTCCTAGAGATTTAAAGCCATTCCCAGTGAGGGACAAAAGCTCTTGAACTGCAAAGAAAATCAAAAGTGAAACAGGAAATGATTATTTCATTTTAGGTAGTTACTTCGCTGCTTTAACTCCTGCATAAAAATGTTTCATGCACAACTGTTTTGACAAGAGAAAGCAACTCAATGTTGCATTGTTTATAACAACAAAATTTACATTTCGTCATTTGTATCATATTTATTTTTACATTTTTTGTTTGCGTTTCCTAGCAACAGTCAAAGCTAAGATTTACAAAGCCAGAAAGATTTTACACTCCAGTGCTGCTACTACACATATAGCAACTGTAAGTCTTGCTCAACTCTGAAAGATAAAATTATTTCTTATAAAAAAAAATTATTTCTTATGACTCATAGTCGACTGGTATTTAAAATCATCAACTAAGTGTGACAAATTTAAAAGTCACGGTGAGTCCAGAAAATACTCATTTTCTGATTTTCCTTAGCATTAGATGGTTTCCTGAATGAAGCAAAAGATACCTGTCTTCATTTGCATGGTCTTCCCCACATTACCAAAAATTGTAATTTCAAAATTAAGAGCAATTACAATTACATACACACATACGTGGTCCAAAAGCTTAAAAAGGAATACACAGAAAAGCAACTGTAGAAGGTAATACTATGCATCATTATTTTTCTGGATGCACGAGGTACTGTTATGATTATAAATTTACAAGCACTAAATCAATGGTACTAAGTTACAGTTAAGTAAGATCAAGAAGTTCTGGTGTGCTATGGCATGATAGACTATAAATAACAATAATGTAGTATACATTTCAAAAAGCTGAAAGAGTTTTGAAATATGTTAATAAGAAGGAATGTTGTTGAGTGTTTGAGAAATAAGACATGTTTAACCTGATTTAAACATTATGTAATATTGTATTGAAAACCACATATACTTAGGCAACACATGACACCCCATTTGTATGTACAATTTTATGCTACTATGTATCACTTTAAAACTAAATTTAAAAAAATTATAACAATAAAAATAAAATGTGATAAAAGTATAAGCTAAAAGTAAACTATGTACTTTGAAAGAGCAAAAAGGGCAAAACACTTTTAAACTTCTATCTTTCCCAAGTGTCTAAAAATCAAATGATAGAACAAAAGAAATCTTGGTGCCATTTTTGGTTGTGTTTATATATGGTTTTGAATTTACTGAGGACAGCTGGATGTTCTCATGACCCGGGAGCCCCATCTGGACACACCATTAAATATGCTTCTGAACTTCTGGACAAAAACAACAAACCAGTGTGAGAAGAAGGCCAGGACAGGAGTGGGAGTGGACAGAGGGGGTGTCAGGGTGATTTAAGAGAGAACCAAGCATTAGAAAAGTATCGTGGAAATGTCAGTTTTCCATGAGGTTAGCACCTCAGGAAATCACACCACATCAGTGCTCAACCATCCCAATACCCAAAGCTGCATAACTTTCTTTTCTCATCATCTGCCTAAATTCTCCATAATTTACTTTGAATTTACCAAGTTGGAGCTTTTACAAAACCAAAGTTAATAATTTTCTCAGGAGTTACAGCTTTCAAAAAATACAAAAGGGAAGTCTTCCTCAATTTGTTGGAATTCCTAAAAAAATAAAACAAGCAAAATATTGTCCTCCTGTTCCCTGCATGCCCTGCCACTCACACAATTCTCCTGATTAATGACCAAACGTGGGAAAGGAAAAGTTTTTGTTTCCCCAACAGGGTGATGTCTTGGCTCTCAAGAAATGTGAGTTAGAAGTAGACTCCCTACCTTTCCCAGTAAGCGACTTTCTGTCTCTTTCTATGCAGTGCCAAACTTCAATTTTGTTTTATTATAAATGACTTAGACTAATAAGTTGAGACTAAGACCCCATTCAGTCATGAAGTCAGCTAAATTCTATGGAAGAAAAAATGTTCTTTCAATATTAACTAACACTCTCTTCGTTTGCAGTATTTAAAAAAATATTTGTAAAGAAAAAATTTCACATTACATGAGTGGTCAAAAAGCTTATATCATCAGATAAGAATCGTACTCAAAATGTCTTCAACACTGCCGAACTACTAAGACACAAATATATCTCTTTTAATCACATAGAAATTTGCAAAACATACAGGTTACAAAGAAAACATTGAGTTATCTTTAATGTTAACTATCACAATCTCCACTTAAACTTATAAACTAAGTAATGGAATAGTCTTTAAGTATGTGTGTCATAAAAATGAATTCAAAGCAAATGGATTTATATTTCTCCTGCCTTTGGATTTACTGTGTTTCAGTAAAATTAAAGAGATTGTCCTCCAATATTTATTCAGGGCTTGCTGCCCCTCAGCACCTCATGGATGACATAGCATATATTGTGGTAATTACCATTTGGTAAAAACAATTTCCATCTTACAGTTATAAATATGGATATATAATCCAAGCCTTGCAATAAAAATGCTCATCTCTCTGGCTGTACTCCTATTGGAATATAATACAACCTGGACTATTTCTAAACAGAACTAGAATTACTGTTTCTCATCTGTTAGAAGTTGTAAAGATGTGATCCCAGACCAACTGGAGCCATGTTTGCCAAAATCCTCACAGAAAAGAATACTCAGAGATGAGGGATATTTACAAAGTCCTAGTGTTCAACTCCTATTTTAGTTCCTAGAAGATCCAGATTGGCCATAGATCCTGACAATCTCCCTTCAATTCTACAAACTCTATTCCCTTGCTAGGTGCAGAGCCTCACAGCACATCCAACCCCAACCTCACATGGATGGTAGAGTTGGATACAAATGGCTCATCATTAAAACTTCTAGAATCAGGTTGCTCCACATGATACCCATTAACTGCATGTGCTTACCAACATTTAAAACATGACTAGAGTTTGAGATGCTATGAAATGACTTCTCTAAGAATGGGATTATTTTTTTCATGAAAATTTGTTAGATCTTACCTGTTAACTGAGGGGACCTCATTTTGATTCATTTTGAGTCAAGGGTATTCTTGACATTCTTTTCTTAGAGGAGTTATTTCAAAGAATGACAAGTGACTGCTGAAAATAAAGTTTTTACAACACAGCCATGTCCACTTATTTGCTTATTGTCTATGCTGATCTCACACTACAACATTAGTATTCAGTAGATACAGAGAGACAGAAAGGTCCACAGAGTGGAAAATGTTTACTATGTGTCTTTTCACAGAAAAAGTTTCCTGACTCAAGCTGGAGGAAATACGTAGGAACTGATAACACATACCCATTTTTGATTTCTCTCTGAGTAAAACTTGCCTTATGTGCTCAACTGTTTGTCATTTCTGCAAGATAAGCATGGGTCAGCCTTTGGGCATTCTAAATCATTATTCTCAATATCCCCTCTGCATGAAATTGTGTATCCTCAAGATACACATGCTTTATTCTTTCTGCTCTTATATTATCATTCTAAAAATCATATGAAAGAGTTAGTATCTGTTAATTTTCCTTTCCTTAATTAAATAGTATCTGTTAATTTTCTTTGCTGCCTGATCTGGGATTGCATTTTTATTTCTGAACCTTTTAGTAAGTGTTGAATATTTTTATCATCAACAACTCCCAATGATATACACATGATATAACTCTAATGGGAAAGTGGAAGGAGTGAATTAGAGGCAAGAAAAAGAGCACAAACATCATCTTGCACAGTAGAAAGTTGATACATAATGTACAAAATTACAACTATTAGATAGTAATAGAAACCAGCACCTAGAAATTTGGCGGCAAAGAGCGGGAGAACATCAGGTTATGAAGGAAAAATGTTGACTCTGAAGAACAAAGAGGTTCTTGGCAGAATAGAGAAGGATATTAAAAAAGAAGGGGCTTAGCTCATTGCAGAAATATGGTCTTACTCACTGATAAAAATAAAACTGAAATTAACAGAACTGTACCCAAAGTTTAGACAACATAACATAAAAATAGAAAGTGATCAAAGTAATATTTCCAAGAGCTGGGTTTTGGGATGTTGAAGTCTCCTTCAGGCCAAGTAAAAGTAGGAAAAGCAGTGCACTCCACAGCATGAGGGTGAACCACCATGCCAGATGGAACACGGTAGCTAAAACTCGGGGTGGACATCCTTGTTGTATCACCCAGGTCTCAGGCTGACATCAGGTGGAGGCCATCCCGTGGTAAACCTGTGAGTTCTCCCAAGAAATCCTTGCAGGTCTATGGGAACTGTTGTGCCCATGTGTCCTGAGACTTTGTAATTAACAGGTCACACCTACTTCCCGCCAGCTTTGTCATACCATAATCACCTGTCTCATTAGGACATTTTATTTGGTGATAGGAGAGTACAGACATTAACTCACTTAGATTATGCAAAGTTATTAATTTATGTCAACAACTTAATGGCAGTGAAGAAGAAGGAAGAAAAGAAGAAAGACAGGGAAAGGAGGGAGGAAAAGGGAACATATTTTGAAAAATTGCAATTTTTTTTAAAGTTAAACTACAATGAAAGTATTTATAAGTTTTTTTGCATCAACATAAAATTTATCAGTATATTGAATATCAGTAAAAATAGAAATAGACCATATCTAAGAGATCTACTGACTTTTCAAATAAGAGAAATTAGTAAAATCCAGAATATATAAAATATACGCACACATATACAAGGAAAGCAAATAATTCAAGAAATAAGAGGCTGAAGATTAAATCAGATTATTGATGGAAAATATTAAAATGACCTTACTAGAGATATAGCTATTTTATTG